GAAAGCCATACCAAAGCACTGCTGCTCATCTTTTTCTTCACATCTGATTCAACTGACAAACAAGCTGTTGGAAAAGAAATCACATGAGGCTTTCAAACAAGAATTCATTGATTTATATGTGCATAGAAAACATGATGAAATGGGGCATTGGAGCTCATTCGGTACCCATGATGAAATGGAACAATAGAATGAAACAGAAATGATATTTTAAAAACTTGAAAATAATCATGGTTTCCGTTTTTGTATGGCTCATTTGGTACACATGATGAAATGGAAGAGTAGAACGGAACAGAAATAGTCATTTTTGTAATTCTTTTGAGTAAGGAATCACTCCTTGAACTCACCAAAAAAAAAAACTTTAAAAAGGTAATTATAAAAGATCAAAAAAAAAATTGAAAAAAAAAAGAGAGAGATGAAAAGGAAGGAAGAAAGGAGATTCCTTCCAACCTTTCCTCTCTACCAAACAGGACATTAGTCCGTCAATGACATTCACCCAAGAAATCCGCTCTACTTTGCATGTGGAATTAACAGATGTTTAATGACATTATAATAAAGGGTCATTATAATTGAAATTAGGGAGAACGTGCAAGGAATGTAATTAAGAGGCGTCGAGATTTGGATCTTTGATTTAGCGGAGCCTGAGTCTGTCCTAGCTCCTAACTCTCGAGCTTCAGACAATGGACTGTTTGCTCTTCAAACAAGAAATATATAGCGTTCTGATTAAAGGTATTGGAACAAGAGACCCCATTATTTTGACATGCTAAAAGTGAAACACGACTACTGTGCTTGTTTTAAATTATTGAATATTGGCTTGACTGCAGATAACAATCATGCAGAAAGAGGTTTGAAAATACTGGCAAAAAGGCAACATCGCCCAGAGAGAACCCACCCAGATCAGAAAACTCAGAGTGAACAAGAAAATGATAGAAAATAATAAAGAAAAGGCCGAAGTAGGTGATTAATTAACGCTTATGCGAATGCCTATAGCGGTGCGATCACTAAGACGGTGAGTATACAGAAGAAGATAATAGCAGAAAAGACAGCAAAGGAGCGGGCAAAAAATGCCACTTTTATAACAGAAAAGAGAAAAACAACAGCAGAGAAGCAATCTGGGCGTCGCAAACCCCCTCGAATATTCAATTGTTGGTGAAAGAAAATGACAAACAAAACCTGTTAAGTTTTGAAACTTTACCGAGCACATGCAATGAAAGATAATAACATTAGAACATTCTGGGCATCTAGAATCAACAGAAAATAAGAAGGAAAGCAAAAGGAAAAACTCAAATTCCCTCCTCCAGAAGTAAAGGTGGCATAATACACGCAGAGAAATAGAACGACATGCAGAAGGGGAAGAAAATGAAAACCTGAAGCTGAAGTGAGATTCAGAGCTGCAATGGGGCGTGAGAGAGACATTCTTGTCCCTCAGATTCTCAGAAATTGGAGACACTATTCTCCAAAATGAAGCTCACGCAGAATCCCCACCACAGAGCCAGGGTGATTGTGATTGACTCAATTCGCATGAACATACATATATATATATATATATATATATATATATAGAAGGAGAGAGGGACACACGCGTCAGTAGGAGTACTTCGCTGACCCACTCAGCACCGAAGATCGTACACTCCCCTTCCACATACCCTCGAATGTATGTATGTACCATTGGAAATTTATAATTAGCTCCTTCCATATATTCTGGGTCATAACTTTTTACCAACTATAATGTTTTTAAAAATGAAATCATAACTTTTTACCAACTGTAATGTTTTTTAAAATGAAATCAATTAATTATTATTTCATGTGCATGTTTTTAATAGAATTAATATCGCATTGTAATTTTATAAAAAATTGGATAACATATAAATTAAATTTTAAATCTTAATAAGTTTTATTAAAATATTAAAAATAAGTATATTTATTTAGAAAAATATTTTTAAATAATTTTTTGAAAAATATCAAACTAAAGAGACAAAAAAACATTTTAGCACGTTTCAAAATAATAAAAATAAATTGAAGTATAAATAATGTTCTAGTTCATACTATCTTTTTTTGTTTAAATCAGGTTCTAACTATCTTATCGTAGTGATTAAATAAGACAAACTTATGTTACTAATTAATCATAGAGCCGAAAATAAAATAAATTATAATTAATAATGAAGCTTTTGTCATGATAAGAATGACAAAAATGAATGAGATAATCAAGTGTTAATAACTAATCATTCTACTAAAATAATAATAAGTAAGGAGAAGAAGTGAATTCCAAACAAATCTCCTATATTTATGAAAGCTTGACCTAATGGCACCTAGGTGCATCTTGTGACGCAGCATTTAACTTGTCAAACATTAATTTGAATATTAGTGGCAATACTTTGCATAGTGATACATTGTGCGTGTTCATGAAGGAAGGCATTGGTTCATTATTTGGAATTAATCATATCTAAATGAATGCATTTGCATTTGATATCAGTCTAGAGTCTCTCCTTTTCCCTTTCCATCCTCTTATCTTATCTTTTCTTTTAACTATTAGATTAATATTTTAATGGTTCAGATTTAAATATTTTTAAAACTATTATTAAAATATTAAATTATAAAAATAAATAAATGATAAATTACAAAATATATTAAAACTTAATTCTCATGGTTTGCAAGTACATTAAATGTTTTTAAGTTTTTTTTTATAAATAGTTTATAAAAAATTAAAATCTGAACCATTAAAATATGTTAATCTAACGGTTAACAAAAGAAGAGGAGGGAAGAGGATGAGAAAAGAAGATGAGAGGTTCCGAACCGCATTTATATATATGAAGATTGTTGAATGTTGAAATTAGAAACAATTGCTATCATTTAAATACACATACATAATTTTGATGAGGGAGATTTTTTTAACCAAAACTTCTAAAATGAGAATTGAAATTAAATTTTAAATCTTAATAAGCTTTATTAAAATATTAAAAATAAGCATATTTATTTTGAAAAATATTTTAAAATAATTTTTCAAAAAATATCAAACTAAAGGAGAAGAAAACATTTTAGCATGCTTCAAAAAAATAAAAATGAATTGAAGTATAAATAATGTTCGAGTTCATGCTATCTTTTTTTGTTTAAATCATGTTCAAACTATCTTATCATAGTGATTAAATAAGACAAACTTATGTTACTAATTAACTATGGAGCCGAAAATAAAATGAATTATAATTAATGACGAAGCTTTTGTTGTGATAAAAATGACTAAAATGAATGAGATAATTAAGTGTTATTAACTAATCATTTTGCTAAAATAATACTCCTCTAGTTCTTAATATAGGACCTAATTGTTAAGTTAATTTTGATCCTAAAGATAAGACTTATTTATCATATTTATCAATTTTTTTGAAATTACCTTTATAGATATTCCCTCAACTATAATCAAGTAAGTGAATGAGGAAGGATATTAAGAAAGATGATTATGGTGTTTTAGAAAAAATATTTCATGTTTCTTATAATTAATCAACTTACTTAACTTTCTTAATCTAATTAAATTAGTTAAAGAGGTCTTATATTAAGGAGCGGAGAAGTAATAAATAAGGAGAAGAAGTGAATTCCAAACAAATCTCCTACATTTATGAAAGCTTGACCTAATGACGCCTAAGTACATCTTGTGACACAGCATTTAACTTGTCAAACATCAATTTGAATATTAGTGGCAATACTTTGCATAGTGATACATTGAATGTGTTCATGAAGGAAGGCATTTGTTCATTATTTGGAATTAATCATATTCTAAATGAATGCATTTGCATTTGTATATATGAAGATTGTTGAATGTTGAAATTAGAAACAATTACTCTCATTTAAATACACATACATAATTTTGACCAGCGAGATTTTTTTTAACCAAAAAATCTTGGATGAGAATTGAGAATTAAATTTTTTTAACTTTTTATGCAATAAAAAGTGAAATTTTTAATATTTTATCAATTAAAAAAAAAAAAGAACACTATCAGTGAGGACAAGGAGTCAATTAGCTTAAAACTAATCAAAGGGGACACCGAAGACCGAAGTGGGATCGATAACCTTAGAAGATAGAACCTAACGAACAAAAAAATTAATTATTAATTTTTTTAAAGAACTTTTTTAGCGTTATCTTATTATTTTAATAATCAAGCAACTAAGAAATAACAACATCATTGTGATGTTATTGTTTTACATAAGCAAAAAGCTTTCCGTTTTATTATTTTAATAGATTTTAGAGTAATTAAATCGCTTTTTTAAATCTCATTGCAATTCCCCTTTTAACCCGTTAATTTAATAGGAATATATTTATCAAAAAGACATTATAAACTAGTTGTCAAACTTGTCGTCACATGCTCTTCACTAATAATATTAAAGGTGCTCGTATTCATTAATCACCATCAGGTTAGTGAAAGGAGCTTTTGCGGCTTAAATTTGAGGTTTGAAATTTAAGTTTGTGAATACAGAAAACCATTTTTTAAAAAAATATTCTTACTGAAACATGACAATAGTAGTTAGATAGTCATATAAAAAATAAAAAATTGATATATTTTATTATTTTCGGTCCTATTTATAAGATTTCGTTTGTAGTTTACAAACGAGAAACTATTATAATTAGGACCGGAAGTAATATTTAAGTTGTAGATTTAAAAATACAAATATAAATGCTATGAAACGATAATCAATTAATTAATCATTAATCATTGAATCATTCTCAAAATTTTTTAAGGAGATCAAAACTCTAAAAAAAAAGAATCTGGATATAAAATATCCATGAAAAGTCAACCATCAACAACAATTGAACAAATCATGAAAAAGAGATTTTTGTAAGAGAAAAAATGGTATTCGATTGTTTAACCCGAGCCCAAGTTTGTCCAAAAAATCCCAGACCAATTTTGTCCACAAAAGCCCAGCTCAATTGCCCACCGATCCGCATGGTTCTTCCAATTCGCTTTCCTCTTCTGCCTGGAACATCCACTGATCCACAGCCGTCCCACAGCGGAGCATTTAGAAATTAGAAATGATGCAGCTTCCTTCGCGCCTGGTAAAGTCTCTCTCAGTTTCTTCTTTACCAGCTACTCCTACACTTCAAGACATTGCTTACCATCAACCAAAAGGTCTCTATATCTATTTCTCAGCTTTTTCGATACTGTTTGCTGGGACATACATGCAATTCTGCTCATCATACATGGGACTTGCTTTGGTTTTGGGCGATATTTTAATACAAATAGCATTTGAACTTCTTTATCCAGTTTGAGGTGCCAGTGTAGTTGAAAATAATGAATAATTGATGAACATCATCCCCCCCCCCCAAAACTTCTTTATGGCCGGAAATTATAATGGGCCTGGAAGAGATTGTGCTGGATTACAGTTTTCCAACATTTTTTGGCATTAAACATGTTAAGGAGTTGGTTTCTTTTGTTTCATGCCTTCGGAAGCTATAGTTTAGTTGAACTTTGGTAATAGATAGTGACATACCATTTGCTGAAGCAGTTTGGTTTTGTCGGAAATAAATGCCTCTTTTTGGAATATAATTTCTGGAACGTTTCAGCAGCATTAGCAGAATTTCACTATTTTAGGATAAGAAATAGAGTTGTAGTGCCAGTAACGTAATGTTTATAACTGTAATAATGCCTTTTTTCTTCTATCATTGTTTAACTTAAATTGATTGAAAGTCAGTATTAAAACAAACCATCATTTAGTATTTTAGTAATATATTTTGTAAAGTCTCCTTCTTTACCTAGGCGAAAATAAAATGAGTTTATATCTGTAGCATTTATGTGATTATGTCCCGTGCTTGGTTGCTTGTGCTTAAATGATATCAAGTAGAATCAGACTTCTTTAGCTGATTCTCACACTATAAAAGTACTGGATAATTATCAAATATAGTGGGATCATTTGTAAAATGAACAGGTAATTATAATATCCACAATTAATTTGTGCAAGCGACATGGGAGAGTCACTGGAACTATTTATCTTAGTAGGTATTGCAAAGGTTGTGCTGAAAAAGGGGAAGTCACAACTCTTTAAGGATGGGAACCCAATGGTATACAGTGGAGCTGTTGATAGAATAATTGGAAGACCACCTCCTAAGACTGGAGACATTGTTCTGGTGGCCGATGGGACTGAGAAGCCAATTGGGTGGGGCATGTACAACTCAGTTTCTATGTTCTGTGTTCGGCTTATGCAGTTTGAAGATGAAGCTACTAGGTTATATATGCGAGTCCTTTCTGTTTCACTTTGGCCCCTTCATCAAGCCCCTGAGCTTTATTGGTTGATCTTACAGTGACTCATCGTCTGCTTTGAACATCAAGAAATTGCTTGAAACAAGAATAGCCTCAGCTATTGAATTGCGTAAAAGGTTGGGTCTTCCTTCAGCCCACACAAATGCATATCGTCTAATCAATAGTGAGGGAGATAGGTGAGCTTCAGGGATGGTTCATTCTTTCTTTAAGTATTAGTCTTAAGGACAGAGTATATTATGTCTCAATTCAACAATCACCGTTGGTATTTTTCCAGCAAGTATACACTAATGAATACATTTCACTATTTACTATTTAGCCTAATCGACTTGAGGAAAATTAAAGTATTATATTGCTGTTATCTTAGAGTGATTTTAAGAGTAGATGATGTGTTTCTTTGTATAATACAACCTAGTAATATTAACATCTCTTGTGCATGCGATGTAACTTGTGAATTTTCATTTTTCTGTGAATGTCTTCAATTTGTAGTGCTTCTTATTTTGAGTAGGTCCAATCAAATCTAATAATTTATTTTCAAGAGGGTTGCATGCTTGAACTTCAATCTTACTTCCTTGCAGATTATCAGGACTGATCATTGACATCTTTGGAGATGTAGCTGTAGTAGCGTCATCTGCTGCTTGGGTTGAGAAGTACAGAGCAGACATAGAGGCATGTCTTGGTAAAATTGACGATATCAATCACATAAATTGGCGACCATCTGTTGATATCTTAAAAGAAGAAGGCATGGATGTGTCAGATTCGAAGGAAATTCATTCATCTACTGGTCCTGAAAGGTCAAAGGTAGACATTCAACTAAATGCATTCGAACTCCAAATTGTTCCTGCAGGAAAATCTTTCATATGTGGATTTTCCTATGTAGTCTAAGCCAGAAATATTAATAAATAAAGATGTATTTTGCATAAACAATATCCTATTTTGCTTGTCATGAAAGGCTGATTATTTTATCGCAGTGATGTCCTGACAAAATTCCACTCTCGTTTCCACCTGTTTGTTGCACCTTTCTGCCAAGTGAACCTTGCCAGTCTGTTGGATATCCACAGAGGAAAAAATTGGGATATTCTTTTTTATGAAATAGGTTATAATTTTATGACCTTAAGTACACTGATATCACATTAACAGTGTATTATATATTCCAACTGATTCCCAACTTATGTTTTGTTTGTTTGGCATGCTTGTCATATGGTAAAACTTGCACATCAATTGCAACAATTCTTTCTCATGAAATTGAACGGCTTAAAGCAACTGCTTGGGGTCTTAGAAAACGATGCACTCCAATATGAAACTAATGCGTGCGGGATTTTTATGGTGTGTTTTTCCCCTGTCAGATTATGGAAAATGGAATTTTGTATGCAATTTCTCTCAAGGGTCAGAAGACAGGATTTTATGCAGATCAACGCGAGAACCGCCACTTTATATCAAGAATTTCAGATGGTCAAAAGGTTCTTGATATTTGCTGCTATAGTGGAGGTTTTGCTCTAAATGCAGTACGTGGAGGTGCTGTAAACGTTACTGGTACGTAGTGTTGCAAGTTTCTTTATTGAAATGTGATAGCTTATGATATACTTTACCCTATTGTGGAAAGTTGGGGTGGTCAACTGACTTATGATTCTGATTTCTAAAATGAAAGGGAGTATACAAATTTTCAATGATTGAGCATGTGAAATGTTATGCAAGGGATAATGGTCGAATTTTGCACTTGCGACTTATATTTGGAACTGAAGACAGCTAAACTACTTGTTTCTAAATTTACTTCTATATTAGTTGCAAATGTGATCCTGTGGGAAGGATTGTTAAATTAGTTAAATCTTTTTCCTTTGCTTGAAATTCTTCAAATTTTGCTTTAAAATTTATCAGAGGTGAATTTTTCTTGGGGTTTCATTGTAACTTATTCTTGGATAAAGTTCTTTGCAAGATGCACATGAATGCCCATGTGGATGTTGACTCTGAAAGACAGGACTGGATTTATTTTAAAATGCCTCACTAGCTCTACATTTTTGTCAGGTGTCGACACATCACTTGCAGCTTTGGAGCTTGCTAAAGAAAATGTTGTACTTAACAATATGGATCCTGAAAGAATAACATTTTTGAGGGCAGATGCAACCGCATTTATGAAGAGTGCTCTCTCGAGAAATGAGTCATGGGATATTGTCATCATTGATCCTCCTAAGCTGGCACCATCAAAAAAGGTAGGGCTATTTTTCTTTCTGGGTGAGAAAAGGTATTGACTACTGCTACCAAGGAATATAATTATGCTGCAATATATGTTGACGAAAGGGCTTCAGGAAACTCTAAGCAGAGATAAAGAAACCTAAGTGAAGCAAAATGATCTTAGCATGGGTTAGCATACCTTTTATATGAGATGTTTGTGGATACAGCAATAATAGAAAACTAATCGTACCTCTTAACTTGTATTTAAAAAAATGCTGAGCTAAAACTTACCAGAATTACTAAAAGAAAATATACGGGCAATTTCAATTATTCATCTTTTTTCTTAAAATCTGTATAAGTAAATTTTTTGCATGGAGTGTAAATCTTCTCTTCCTATGTTAAGAAATATGGTATTCATCTCTATCTTAATATCGGATTAATGTGACTTTTATGCGTCAGGTTCTGCACAGTGCATCAGGCATGTACAGGAATTTGAATTCATTGGCTATGAAACTAACAAAAAGAGGCGGCCTTCTAATGACTTGTTCTTGCTCAGGAGCTGTAGCCCAAACTGGATTATTCTTGCGGATTCTTCAGGTACTAAGCTATATTTTCTAGGCTTTTAACGAGATTGTCACCCAAGGATCGTTTGACTCCTTATTGCGGAGATATGATTTAAATTTAAGACAGAAAGTATATGGTTCAGGTTTTTCTGTAATTTACATAAACTGGGAATCTGTGATATCGTTAACCAAAAAAAAAAGAGGCCTATGCGCTTTGGAAGTATATCCCATTTTTTCAGAAAAAAGTTCTACATAGTTATATGTGATATATCCTTTGCTCGATATCAACATGTTTTGCTGCGTTTCATAGTAAAAATCAGTTAAAGTTGCCTGTCAGCAAAAGTCAATAAAAATTTCGAAAACGGATTTGTTTATCTTGGTAGGGCGCAGCATCCATGGCAGGGAGAAAAATCACTGTTCTAAGACAGGCTGGAGCAGCTTGTGATCATCCTGTGGACCCATCTTACCCAGAAGGTGCATACCTATCCAACATCCTACTACGAGTTCTGTGAGGCTGGTGATTAAGAGGTCCATTCACTTGATTGTTTCCATGTAATTCTATGTATGGTGTAATTTGGAATATTGCTTAATATCTCAAGCACAAATTGTGCTCTTCTCGAACTAACTTAAAGGCAATGATTTTCATTGATCCATATAGCTCACACGCCCCAATAGGTTAACATATTGGTGGAAGCAAAGCAATGTAATGTGATGTTAGAAAACCTATTGCAGTTGCCAATGCTAGAGTTGTCAATTTTTTTTGGAATCGTACTGTAAAGGAATTCTTTGTTAACCAGGACCATTCCTCTTGTACAAATGTTTGGACAATTCATTCACTTAAAAAAAATATGCAGACAATTCAAAATTTTCAAGTAGTGCAAACTAGGTGCCTGACACAGTCGGGCCTTGTTTGGTTTGTTGGAATGGAAACAACACGTATTGTGCCCTTTTTCACCATGGCATCCGCCACTCTTACACTCTTGCGGCTAAATTGCAACCAAACCTTCCAATGCTTCCATGCATAGGATCTTCTTTTCATTTTTTTTAATTAGAGGGTAAGTACTAATGGCCTGAGGTTATAAATGGAATTTCACATTTACATAAGAGTTTTCATATCATTAGGGTATAATGCCATTGGCTCCATGCATAGCTTCTGATTTCCACGCTCAGTGTACTTAAATTCTGATATTCAAATGCTAACTGCTTCAGATGCTACCTGATCGCGGTCCTAAAACAAAATGACTTCCCTAGTTTTCATATTAGGGCAAGGTGAATTGAAGAATAACTACGCGTGTGAAGTTTCCAGAGGATGAGCTTGATCTATCAATTTCCTGAATCCTGCTAATTCCACAGAATTCATTCCTCACTTTTTGTATAAAGAGAACCATTTATTAAAATAGCCTCCATTGCTCTCAACTTCCATTTTTGGCCAAGAGCTCTGTAATCGTGACGGCCTTTGCACGAGACCAATGCTCCCTTCTTTCCACTTGTTCTTGACGTGTGCATTACCCATCTCTTGCGTGGAATGTTTCATTACACCAAACTAATCATAAGTTTTAAAAATGTGCCTTTTGGGTTTCATACAATTTTTTTTTTTTTAATCTTTCAATCTTTCTCCATACATCTCATTACATTCCCAGCAACTTTAATTTTTATTTATTGATAGTGGGGTTTAAATATAAGAGAAATAACCACAATGTTATATTGCATAGGTTTACAGGGGAGAGAAGCATCTAGTTTTCTGAAGTAATTCAACTGAAGAGGAAAATTTCCTCAATGTGCTAAACTACTGCAGGGAATTACACCTTTAAACTGCCAATAAAAATATTTAACTGTGATACAATTTGACCATACCTATAAATACCTATTTTCTGTCAGGTTGTTCAAATTGTTGACAGGCAACTTTCGTCCATAGCTCTGCAGATAAAAATGCCACTGGAATCTACAAGTGATTAAAAATGCTTACCATATCGGTTGTTGCATGGAACCAGATAAAGAGAGATATTCCAGCTTACAGCATCTTGATTCAAAAGCTTAATGCAAGTCCACGGTGTTCATAAACTATATTCTTTTCAGTATAAAATTTGACATTTAAACTATGCTTTCGGTGATGGGGCTTTTCGCCACTGCATCTTTTGATCAAACTTAGAGCTATTAACGCTATGATCTCCCTCTGTCCTCTTACTATTCTTGACTTTGATGAGTCCAATCTTAAAATAAAGGCATTAGCAGGAATTATTTGGAAACCATTTGTCTTTTTAACTTCCAGTATATCCTATTATCACCATGTAATTAATTTGAGTTTCCCCATTGGCAGCTTGCTCAGAGATAAGTTGGTCCCTTCATTAAATATTGTTTATGAAACAGTTAAGTGAGCAGAAAGATATTATTGTATGGATGTGGATTGTTGCACTGCCAACTTTTAGGAAGTTGTATGGAAAGATAGAGACAGATCTGAATCCTGGTGATTCCATTTATGTGACATTAAAAGACAACTACGACACATAGTTTTAATGGCAAAGAGAAGCTTGTGTTGTCGGCTACTAGCTAGCTTGACGGAAAAAATGACTTCCTTGGTATTGCTTATCTCATTGTTGGAGGATTATGCTTCTTCTTGGCTTTGTCTTTCACCATTGTCTGTGTTATCAAAGCCAAGGTTTAAACTCAAGTCCCCTGTAGTTTGCTTGCGTGGAAATTAGTTCTGAAATCTGGCCATTCATGGATTGACTTGCATTTGCTTTTGCGTGATGTGTTCCTTGTGTCTTCAACCTAAAAAGCTGTCGGAAGCACTCACTATTTCACACATTTGCGTATTATATAATCAAAATTTAGTACCGGATCTTTTTGGATCATGACCAACTTAGTGAAAAACCTTTCCCATTATTTGGCATATTAGGTCTTCGAATTGCAATTTCTACTGCTTATTGCCTTGTAAAGCCCAAGTTGATATTCTGCCAACTTTAAACAGTTGAGGGTAAGAAAAGAAAATCAGCATATAAAGTTCAAGGCATGGTTATCAGTGATTTTCCACTTGTACGCGCGCGCACTCTGTTACAGAAATGTGTTAAATGTTTTCTGTTGCAAGATTTTGCAGGTAATTTAGATGACGGGGCCTTTATATGACGTGGCAGAAGTAGTGAATCATCCAAAGGACTCATGTTTTCCCAAGTTGTATCAGAAGCGACTATAACCACATCGAATTCCATTTTCTACACATACAAGCAAAATTATAATGTAAGAAAGAGAAAAAATACAGTGTAATTTCTTAAGAGTGACTAGTACACATTGGTAATATAGATATACAAAATTACACCAGCCAAAGTAAAAAGACCCTAGCGCCTTGGAGCCTTGAAAGTTCAACCAAGCACAGTTTCTCTGGCTTAGTGCCCTCCTGGATTTCTATTCCAAGATAAATATGAAGGATCTCCAAGTTGCCTACATAGAGACATAAAAGATCAGAAACACATTAGGTTTAAATTTGTCGAAATAGAATTGTAGATTTGTGAAGTTTGACATGAACAAGAAATATAAATGAAAAATGAGTACATAGACTTGTATCTGTAAAATCTTTTGACAGTTTACACATTTCTATAACTCCCTATACATTATTGTACAAGCCGTGATGGATCACTAATAACTACAACCAGAATACTATCTTTAACCCTCAGCTAATTTAGACTTGGCAGAAAATCATATTCCTTTCCTTTTCTCTCTTACTTCACAAGGCAGGAAAGAGTTCACTTGTATTACAGGAAAGGACACAAATATGGTAAGCACCAGATACTTGACAACGCACAATTACAAATGCATGATTCTCATCAAACTGACCAATATCACCATGCAAGAGTTGGAGTTCAGAAGGCAATAGTCAGTAGAAGTTGGTAACTCCTAATATTCTAAGTAATCTGAAGAAAGAAATTCCACTAGGTTGGTCAGAAACCAAAATCCAGTACTAAATTTTGCTTATTTGACAGGCTAATGTGGGGAACAGAGAATGCATCCAACACCATTTCGGGTGGAAGACATCAATGCATCATGCTAAAGCAAATGTAAACCACTCGAAAACAGCCAGGCCTCAATAAATTTCCATGGGAACAAGTAGTTGAGAATTTAAGTATTTACCTTGGCTTGATAAAATATACAATGGTGAAAGACAAAGCCAAGAAGAAGCACAACCCTCCAACGGTGAGATAAGCGATACCAAGGAAGTCATTCTTTCCACCAAGCCAGCTAGTAGTTGACAGCACAAGCTTCTTTTTCCCATTAAAACTATATGTGTTGTAGTTGTTTTCCAATATCACTTGAATGGAGTCACCAGGATTCAGATCTGTCTCTATCTTTCCATACAACTTCCTAAAAGTTGGCAGTGCAGCAGTCCGCATCCACACAATAAGATCTTCCTGCTCACTTAACTGTTTCACGAAAAAATATTCAAGAAAGTGAGCAACTCATCTCTTTGATGCAAGCTACCAATTAAGAAACTCAAATTAAACACATGATGATAATAGGATATACAGCAGATCAGAAAGAGAGGGGTTGTGTGTAATTCAATCTATACAAATGGCTTCCAAATAATTCCTGCTATTTGCTTCATTCAAGATTGGACTCATCAATGTCAAAATGCATGGGTGAGTTGTTGGATAAAAAGAGCAGTAAGCACCACAGGACTGCCATTTGAATGAACAATTCAAAGATTTTTCGACTCATCATAATCTTACTAAGGACTTAAAGCTCTTAGAATAGGTCTCAAAAGTGGGAACACATGCAAACACCCAGCATTTTATAGTCAAGACAGACAAGATATTTTCCCGATGCAAATTAATATCTCAAGAAGGAACTGGTCAAAGCTATTACCAATACACCTAATTGCGTTGACCAGACTCTGACCCCCTTCATAAACTTTTAAGTGTAACTAAAACTTCTATTTAAAACTATATGGCAAGCATAACAAATGGAAGAAAAGAGATCACAGAAGTAATGGCTATAAGTACAATCAAAAGGTCCAGCAGCAGATAGCCCGCGCTGCTAAAGGCGTAGCCTAAATACCAAATTGTATCCTCAAAAAATGTAATATATGATCAATAGTTACTTGCATTAAGCTTTCGAATCATAATGCGGTGATGCCATGAACTGCAACATCTCTATCTGATGCCATGCGATAACCTATATGCTGCCGACTAGAATTATACAAACACGTGTAATTCCATTCCAAGTCTCTGAGAATTTTATGTTAGTCTCTTTCTTTCAAATCAAAAAGTGATCAGGGGCTAAAATTATAGTAAAAACACAAAAGGATGAATACCCAAAATGCAAGACATGTCTATACATCACTACACTGCCTACTCATCCCCATTCTAATAAAGTAACAAAAAACAAACATATGCAAGCTTTATACACGAACATAAACCTGCAAGAATGCCCAAAGACTAAATTTACGATATGCACATCAAAACAACTTTAAATCACATACAAAGCCTTGTTAAAAGACGAAGTTACACATCCACATTGATGTAATGATGTTTGATTCAGTCTCTTTTGATTCATTTAGCTCTCACGCTCAATTACTTTTGGGAACTTTTGGGAACTTCCGATCTTTTTTTCTTAATGTAACGAACCTATCTTCTCCTTTTTTATTCATATTAAAAAAATATTGAAACTAATTACTAATACAAGACCAGAATATTTGAAAGGCTCTTCTGAATAAACAAATAATCGTCAACAAAGTTGTTTTAAACATGAGTTCAAATAAAGACTTACTGGTATAGATTCATTAAGACTCGCACCACCTATAAGAGCACTCGTATTCTTGAAGTTATTGGGGAAGTTTTTCGGGAAAACATCATTTCCAAATTTGTGGTCTCTGTCACTCTTCCAAGAGATGCCTTTCTTATTCACAGTCAAATTCCTGCTGTTCAAGGAGAAGCTATATGTGTCGTTGAACAAACTCCAGGCTATAAGACCACAAGGCACAATTGCTGATCCGTTAAACATGTCTTCCGGCTTACAATCACTTACAGAGCTCTGTTTTTTAGGATCTCTTAACTGCACATCACTTCGGCTTTTAACATACCTGAATAATGCAAAATTGCCATAAACAAAAACAATGATTTACTTAACATCATGTCTAACTATAAGCAGGAAATTTTAAGACGGAACCCAGTTGGATTCACTTATGAACTACCACAATGATAAGATAAATACATAGACAGTGTAAGGTGGCACATGGGACTTGAAAAGACCATCTCATGCAAATAGACTCTTCATCACTCCCAACAGAGTCAGGGCCTAAGATTGACAGGAGCTTTATAAACAAAAAATGGTAACAACTACCGCAGCTTTTACAATACCCTGCTTTCTCTTCCCCTCCTTAAAAGAGAAGACAAGGAAGAAACAGTGCCATTGTTCCATTCACATATTAATCATCAAGGAAAAAATCTACTTGCATATGAAAAACACAAACATGTTGCTTAAACAAACAACATGGGTGAACACGAAGCATAACTTGATCAAATCAGTTCTTATGAGCGATATATATCCTTTGGCCCACAGTCTATCTACAGTTCTGCTGTATGAATCACAATGAAAAAGAAGGAAATTTTCACCCAAAAAAATTCCCAAAATTAGAGTGGAAAAAACCACAAAAGCTGGAATTGTCAACGACAGTTGTAGAAAGTTGGGCCAGGGAATTCTAACTCATTATATACCACACCTTCCTCTTTCATAACGAATAAAAGTAATGAGAGATACATAGGTTTTCATATAAATGCCAAACATGAAGATAAGATAATTCAAGTACACACCTTCGATGATTCTGGTAGAAGTTGTCCAGCTGGTAGTAAACATAAATAGGTGATTTCATACGCTTTTTCACCTTATCATGAGAAAAGAAATAAAAACATTATAGTGCGAGCAACTTTTATTAGAACATAATGAACATTATTTTCATTAAAAAAATAATGAACAGTATGATGATGATCGAATAATTAAAAAGAGAAATTTCTATCAAGGATGCTTACTGTTAGAGTCCGGTTGCATGTTTTGTCTGCAGAGCTCTGGATGAAAGCTACCTTGTCAGTATAATTACTTGGCACGCACGCAGACTCATACCTATCAATAATTTCAACAACCTGATAGAAAGAAGATAATCAGAGTCAGCATTAAATCAGACTGAACATTGAAATTTAAAGCATAATCGCACTTAGGCATACATCTCGTGAAGCAAATAGGGAAGCAACTCCAATAGGAATGAAGACAACACTGACGAACAAGAATGCTGAAATAACCTGCAAAAAATGTTTAAAATCAAATAAAGTTCCATCCTGTTCGGACAACAGCTTTCACAACGAAGTAAGTCAAATGCAATTCATAAAAATAGGCAGTTCTACCGCTTTTGGTGTAAGAATTGGCTTGCATGCTGGAAGTTCTTGTTGTGTAAACTTTGAATCTGAAAGGGATAAGACATTTAGAAAGATACCTCTCGTCAGTAAAGTTTACATGACAAATGCATTTGTTGTTTAAGTAGAACATGCTAAGCAACTACAAAGAACTCCACAACCACGTGAAGAAGCCATATAAAAGTCAAATGGAAATCAATATAACGTCAACTCTCCCGAAACTGAGGTGAAAATTAGCTTGCCAATAGGAACTTCCATGTATCCGAATTCATTACAATAAGAACCATTCTTGTATCCACAAATTCAGCATATGTTTCCCATCAATAGTTTAAATAACCATATCGCTGGGCCAACCATCGGATCAACCGATTACAAAATCACCAAACACATAATAAGTATGGCCGCTCACAGATTCTCCGGAAACAAACGACTAGCAAGGAGAAAAGGCGAAGATGTACTAGAGGATGCTATTGGAGTCGGAAGAAACAGACTTTGTATTGTGACGTTATAGTAGTTTTTTTGCTGTGAACCTTTGCAAACAAAAAACGAGGGACTTTCAAGTAATTAAAAACCTCCATATATTAGAGCTTGATCAACAGGCGTCTCAATGTCATGCACTAAGTGCTAGCACAGCTTATACCTTAAGAAAGCCATGAGCTTCCTCTTTTCAACAATCCAATTATAAATTTTAAGTGATATATACAACACAAATCAATAAATCATAATTACATCACAAAGACAGATAAACTAATGCTGCGCAACTGCAAACTAAGCTGAATAAAGCAAGATATAAGATCAGAGATCAGAAATTACACTTGGGTCGCTTGGTCTGTCTTCTTGCAGTTGTTGAATCAGTAGATCCAGTAACACCGGAGCTCGACGACGACGCCATACCCAAATCCGTCTCCGAACCCCTCAAAGACTTTTTTGGAAACCCCTTGATTCAAAAGAAAACCCCACCTGAGCCAGAGGAGAATTGGAGAAGGAAACGACGACAACGAAGCCGATGAACTTGAAAGAATTAAGATATGGGAATTAAAGAAACCCTTGAATTTTGGGAAAAGAAAATAGAGATATTTGATAATAATGTTCCAGCTTATAGGTGAGGAAGGTGGGTTGCTTTAGCTCGTTATGATTTGACTTTTATTTGCAAAGAAAGATAAAGATACGGAGGAGGATGGTTCCTGAGGCCGCCCGTCCCCCAGTGCATCTAGAAAAACAAGAAAGAGCGTAAAGACCAAACTAGAGAGAGACCAGAGGCAAGTCAAACAAATACAATGCAATAACACGGTTTGGAGTTTGGACCCAGTTTTCGTTTTCACAATAACTATAATTTTGAAGAAAATTCTTGAAGAAAGTATGAAAGGTAAGAAAGGGGCAAAAGGAAGCCAAAAAAAAAGAAAAATTCCATGAATTACAATCTCACTCAAAGATATCATATCAAAATACCGAGGATCATTGAATAGTCATTGATTTCAATATTTTACGAGTTTGTATGATATTCTAATTCTAATTATAAGACTTCTTTTATATTAACAAGGTCTTATAATTAGACAGCGGGCAGTATTGTAGTTTTCTATCTCAAATAAAAATGTGTGAGATTATTTTAGTTATTGGCATTTTTTGTAACAAGACTGTTTTGTTTGGTATTCCCCACGAGTATTTACCTAAAGGAGATGATATAAAAGAATAGAAGGATATGTAAAATATATTTATTTTAAGTAAGATTTTTTTTTTTTTGCCAAAAAAAATTCCACCCTCCCACTTCTTCGCCTAAAAATCATCATGGATTTGGTCTAGTTTCTTGTCCTCAATTATTATTCTCAGTCCACCAAAATTAATAAATCTAATGGGAAAATTAAAATTGACAAAGGGCGATGTACGCTCGGGCCCAGGTCAAATCCTTCTTGTCAGATTTGGGCCTTTTGTCCAGCCCAAAAAGGAAACTTATAAGCCCAAGTCATGTCTGTGAATTAAACAAGAAAAAAATGCTTAGCCCATAATTTTGTTGGATCCTCACAAACTATGTGTTAATGTCTTAATGATTAAAGTCCATTTATAGTGCTAGTTAATTTTTCTGAAATTTTTTTACGTCATACTTAACTCAAATTTCTTATATTCATTATATTAAATTTCTAATCACGCATGACACATGCATGCTTGTGTGTGTATGATCCTTAACATAGATATATACTTGCATATATGAGCTAACATCAAACTTACAATGTCTAAGAGCTTAATGAATTACTCATCTGGTCCTGTTTATAAGGCAGAAAAAAAAGAAAATTTTTGGTTCTATTTATAGGATCGAGAGAGAAATTTTTATATGAATGTACAATTTTATTTTTTATTTATTATTGTGTTGACTTTATCATCATTTAGTATAATATATACTGAATAAGGATAAAATTAAAAAATTATTAAATTTTAAATGAGAGTTAATAAAGTTTAAGATTTTTCTTAGTATGCATGAAACATATAAAAAATAACTTATAAATTGAATCAAAGAAGTAAGTTCGGTATGTTTGATTTTAGCTGGACGGAGCGAACTACACTTTAACCTTATAGTTTATTGAAAATATTAATTACCCCTTCCATTCCTCTAAATATATATATAAAAAAAAAAGATGTAATTTTTGGTATAAACATGGTTCTACTGGTAAGATACCCCTAAAAAATGTCTAAAATTTTAATCAGCTCTTTTTTTAAAAAAAAAATTTCCCTTGTTAATTATATATTAATATCATCTCATTGGTTATTTCTCACACACATATATATCGTTTTACCCCTCATTCTCTATCTCTCATTCATTCTCTCCTCCATAAATAATCTTCCCTTGGTCCTATTTATAAGGCAAAGAAAAAAGAAACTTTTTAGTCCTATTTATAAGGCAAAGAGAAAATTTTTATATGAATGTACAACTTTACCCTTCATATATTATTGTGTTGACTTTGTTCTCGTAAGGTATATTATATATTACATAGAGATAAAGTTAAAAAATTATTGAATTTTAAATAAGAACTAATGATGTTTAATGTTTTTATTGGCCTGTGTGAAACATATTAAAAGTGACTTATAAATAGGATCAGAAGAGTGAAATACATTCTTTATATATTTATTGACGTTGATTAATTTTAATTAACATTTTAATTTGATGTGATTGATTCGACAAGTTGTATTATATATATAAGATAGAAAGAAGGGAACATGAAACATAAAAAGCTTTAAAATGTGAAATGTCAATTTGGGAAGCTAAGAAAAGATAATAACAGAGAGAGAAGTCATTCCCAAATTGAAATTTTGAAATTCAGTTAAATGATAAAAATGTCCTTCGTCTTTTTTTTTTTAAAAAAAAATCAGCCTCTCACTGATGGCCGGCAGCTGCTGGTGGCTAGCAGCCACCGCCAAGCACCGACGTCAACCACCAGTGTGGTGGCTGCAGGTGAAGTTTTTTTGTTACAGTATTTTTTTTTTTTTTTTGCATGAGAGAATATTGGTTCAAAGTGGCAGGGGAGAGATTTGATTCTACAACCCCTTGGCCATTTGGACCAACAAAAAAAAACCATTGGATCATCAAATATTTCTTAATCTTATAATGCAAACAAAAATATAAGTTGATTTAAGGATGACAAGTCTTAATTGAGAAATAACAAGTCTAAATTTGATATTAACAAAGCAACTTTTACTGATACATAACAAGAAGTAGCATGTATATTAATTAAAAATGACCATAATTTATTTGAAATGACATGTTTTTACTAGAAAGTGACAAGTCTAAACTTGAGATTAATAATCTGTCTTTTCCTTATACATAACAAGAAGTAACATGTGCATTAATTAAAAATGACCATAATTTATTTGAAAATGACATGTCTTTACTGGAAAATGACAAGTCTAAACTTGAGATCAACAATGTGTCTTTTTCTGATGCATAACAAGAAATAACATCTACATTAATTAAAAATGACCATAATTTATTTGAAAATGACACGTCTTTACTGGAAAATGACACGTCTTTACTGGAAAATGACATGTCTTTTGTGAAAAATGACAACAATTTATTTATGAATGTCCATGTCATTTCTTGTTATGTATCAGGAAAAGTTGCTTTGTTAATATCAAATTTAAACTTGTATTTTCCAATAAAGACGTGTCATTTTCAAATAAATTATGGTCACTTTTAATTAATATACATGCTGCTACTTGTCATGTATCAGGAAAAGTTGTTTTGTTAATATCAAATTTAGGCTTGTTATTTCTCAATTAAGACTTGTCATCTTTAGGTAAATTGTTATCACGGGTTGGAATCACAGTAAAAGAGGCAACTTATATTTTCATTTGCATTATAAAATTAAGAAGTCTTTGATGGCTCAATGGTCATTTTTCCTTTCGTGACCCAAATAGCCAAGGGGTTGTGGAATCAAATTTCATCGCCACCACTTTGAACCAATATTCTTCCATGCAAAAAAAAAATACTGTGACAAAAAAACTTCGCCGGCAGCCACCACACTAGTGGCCGACGTTGGCGCCAGGCAGTGACCGCAGGCCACCGGTGAGTGGCTAAGGCTTTTTTAAGAAAAAAAAAAGACAAAGGACATTTTTATCATTTCACTGAATTTCAAATTTTAATTTGGGAAGGACTTCCCTCTCTGTCATTATATTTTCTTAGCTTTCTAAATTGACATTTCACATTTTCAAACTTCTCTATGTGTCATTTTTTCTGGAAAGAAATAAAATAAAAAGTGTGGGAAGGGGCGCTGGGCGCATATTAATTTCGTCCAACCAAAATAAAAAGTTTGGGGGCTCAAAAGCCACACCACAATTAATGGACCATATTAGTAGGAAGTTAGAGATGTAAACAGTGGGAAAAAAAAAAAAAGGAAAGTAAGGGAATTTCAACACATAAAAAGGGGACCCACAAATTCACATTGGAGAAAAGAGGAATATATTCATAGAGAAGAATATATTCATATGCAGCCCCATTTATAAAGATCGATGCTTGAAATTGAAGCAAACATGGCATTCATTTATATGTAGAACAACCGAACCCCACTTTTCCACTGAATATATATTGAACCAAAAAGAGAAAGCATTATTAGCTTTACTTGATTACATATATCACAAATTAAAGGCTTATATATTAACAGCCAATTTACATATATTAATGATCTTATTCATCAAGAAGCCCACTTCAACAGATATATATCATCCATTAATTGGAAGCAGTTAATAAAAAAATTAATGGGTTTTTTTCAGACCAATGCATGCTAGCTTCCTGGATATCTTGTAATGAAAAATATGACTAAGATAGAAATGTCGATGAACGTAGCTGATATATAAATATATGACCGCCAGAAGTTATAAGCCTTTGGGGGAGAGGAATCTTCTTTGATTGTCAAAGAAGAAAGCATTTATTCTCTGTTACTGTTCCTTAAATTTTTGTTTTTTGATGGGATTACGAATATATAGAGCTTAGCCAACTGCATTAACAAAAAAAAAAAAAAGTCCATATATTGCTACCAATTCATGAAAACTTTAAACTATAACACTTTAGTCTTATTTATAAGACATAACAAATTTTTTCCTTGGCTTATTTATAAAGGGAACATTGCAATTAGGTCCTACTCAAAAAAATTAAATACAAAATGGTCCCTTGAAATCATAAAATTATTCTGAAGTCTCAAGAGACTTTTTTGTAATAAATTTTATTTTTTTAATTACCAAATTACCCTTCTTTTTTTTTTTTTAAGTTTGTATTGACAACTGAAAGAGCAGTGGTTGACAACTTAGAGTGTAAGGATTGACAACTATCGCGGCTGGTTTGACAACTTAGGGCGTGATATGCTGAGAAAATGTGTTGTCAAACCAGCCGCGATAGTTGTCAATCCTTACATCCTAAATTGTCACCCACTGCTCTTTTAGTTGTTAATACAAACTTAAAAAAAAGAAGAAGGTAATTTGGTAATAAAACAAATAAAATTTATTGCAAAAAGAGTCTCTTGGGACTTCAGAATAATTTCATGATTTTCAAGGATTTTTTTGTATTTAACTCCCTCAGGTGGGACGTAATTGCAATTCTCTCATTTATATAAATGACGTCATTTAATTTTTAACATAAATATATTTGATCCTTTATTTATCATTGTGTAAATTGTTATTTTGTTAAAAAGTGTATATATTAATTAAACATGAGTAAAATTACAAATTTTTTAAATTTTAAAAAGTAGAGCTAATCAGATTTAAGATTTTTTTAATTTAAGTGAAATATGCTAGAAGTAACATACAAAATAACATCAGAAGAATATATGATTTTCAATGTTATAATTAGCACTCCACATCTTAAATCTTGGAAAAAATTTCAGAAAAAAAATCATGAAATTATCATTTCCTAATTCATGTACCTAAGAGTTGGAAATGATAGAGAAAGAAGTGGTGCCTAATCTGTTATTTTGCAAACGTAGTTAAATAACTAAAATTTTCTTGTATCAAATTTTAAAAAAAAAGTTTCAAACTTATTATTGCCAGTATATTTTTTGTCATTAACTATTCAACACTTCTCATTGCTAGTTCACAACTTGGTAATAAATAACTTGCCATTGCCACTATATTTCTTATCATCACTAATTCACAACTTGTTAATAAACATTTTGATATAAAAGCATTTTAGTTATTTGACTACATTTGCAAAATACCAAATTAGGCACCACTTTCTCCCTTGAGATTTGAAGTGTTAGGTATCTAATTTGGAATATCACATTTTCTAGCTCCTTTGTTTGTCATTTTCCCTAAATCATGACTCTATTCCTTAATCTTACAATAGAAAAACTTAATACATCCATCGTCTAGTGATATAAAACAAATAAATAAAGAAAAAGTAAGGAAATGTTTAGGGTGTGTTATAATTAAGAGTGGTTTTAAAAAAAAAAAAAGCTTAACAGAAGCTCAAGGTCCCCACTGATCACTAGTGACATAAAAAGCTTCACACATATTGCAATATTCTTTATGCGCTGTTGATGTTCATGTGCCCTCTTATTACCAACCACACGCCCTAAAGTTGAGAGGTTCCATTTTTCCTTGTTCTTTTGTGCCTTTCTAATCCTTATATGTGGCCATTTTTTCCACATCTATAGCTTTCATCTTTGACTGCAATATTTTTGAATATGATCTTGATGAGTCTCTAATTTTTAAGCTCATTTACCAAAAAGGAAAAGATGGTTACGAGTATTTCAATCTTTTTTTCCCTTTAACAAGTAATGAATGGATCGTCGATATATCTTTAGAGAGATATATGTGTTTATCTAAGTTAAAAGGAATTCATATTTCCCATTTATTTCATTATTTTTAGCGTCTTTTTTTTTGTCAGAAAAACTATTTTTAGCATCTAATCTTAGGCTTTTAGCATGTAATTGGTGTCAATCGTGCTGAACTGGGTTCCAAGTTAAATTTAGGCAAATTGTGTGAATTTGATTGAATTTTAATTAGATGTGTATCTCTTATGATTTTATCTCTTGGACCATATGATTCTACCTCATCATATTGTTGTGTAGATAGCATATGTCAATTAGGCACTTCAAAGGAGCAGATGGATTTTCGGAGTCAATGTATAAAATATAATTAGCACATAAAATAAATTAAGTACCACATCCCATATTTAACGTAAGAGCTAGTCAGATATTGAATTTGGCTTTAAAGATAAGACTTCTATCCACTTTATCTAAGAGATTTACATAAGTATCAAGTAATAGTTCCAATGCACCAAACGAATAAAGATATTTTAGAAAAAATAACACTTACTTATTACAAATAATTAACTTAATTGTTTTAATTAATATCCACAAATAAGTTATATATCAATCTCTTATATTAAAGGCCAAAAATAGTATTTATGATCACTCAAAGTGTATATATGTTGATTACAAGTATATATTTTATGTTAAATACATATTAACTCTTCAAATCACAATCCAACTCAATTATATAAAGATATGGATATACAATGAGTCCTCCCCTTTACACCAACAAGTCTTATATATCCAAAATATTGGAAAGAGAAATTTATCCCGAGTTTTGACTTTAATATGTGAGAAGAACTGATAAATCTTCGCTAACCAAATCTTACCATAACGCAAATATTAATGGGTTTCCTGACGAAAATCAAAATATAAATATAGTTTAAGGGTGTTACACTTTTCATTTGGAATGAATATGATTGAAACTTTTATGGGGAAAATGACATAAAGCCAACCTTTTCGTTATTATGCCATTGAAGATATATATAGCTAGGGTTGATGATGATGAGATGAGTACCTTCATAATAATTATTCCTAAAAGGATGTCGTACTACGAATATATATATATATATATATATATCTATATGAATGCATAAACAGCCAAATGTGAGATTATGTCCATAATGCATTAGTCACCAAACACTATCATCCCCTCTCTTCCTCTCTCCCCGCTCTCACACCCTATATATATATATATATATATATATATATATATAAAGTATACTATCGCCAAATTATCATCATTGCATGAGGGGTCTCTAGTCATGATGCCTCAGAAAAGGTTTATATCTACAAAACTATATCCAAAGGGTATCTCTATGCTTCATTTAGCAGTAGTAATATTATATTTGCATGCTAGAACCTTCTTGCAGTGGATTATTTTACTCGTCAATACACATATAGCGATAAAAAAGAATTATAACTTTAATACGATTAAACATCTTTGAATCACATACATATAACAGAAGTATATATTAATTATATAATGAGTTTATACAAAATTACATTGATTTTTTTTTATAAAAAAAATGTTTCATAGCTTTCATATATCTATATCATCAATCATTCTTAGTCACCGACTGGTCAGGGTAATTTTTATAAATGACATGGTAAGACTTGTCAGTCTAATTAATTAAAGAGGACAACGTTATATTAGTAGAGAGGAAGATAAAGATGAAATTTAGAGAGAGAGAGACACCTTTTGGAAAAGGAGGCTTCCATGTTAGACTGAAAAGCTTTTAATTTTATAAATTAGATATGTAAAAATAAAATTAGTATTTATATTATGAAGAGGCACAAAATTATTAGACATGTTGTATAATTAGAAAAATATATAACTGACATATATGTATGGAACTTTTTACTCCATGATGATTAGCTTATTATATTGCTGGCACAAAAAAAAAATCAGATTACCTTATTATATATATTTATTTCACAGATTGAATCTACTTACTTTTTTTGGCCTTAATACTTATTTTATCTTTTCAATGCTGTGAGCTTCTCTCTCTCTTTCCGGGGTTAGAGCTAAAGCGCCGTCCGGGGTGTTAAAAACGCACCCTATTCTCTTCTTCTTTATTTGCACATCGCATTTGTTCTTGAATCTCATCCTATTCCTCTCAGAGGCAACCTCTCAGAAACACAGAGAGAGAGAGAGAGGGGGAGAGAGAGAATGTTCCCTTCAAAGAAGGCCTCATCTATGAATTCCCAAGAGCGAGGCATGTGTGTTCAACCTGACTCTGGCCTCGTCCTCACCACTGACCCCAAGCCTCGCCTTCGCTGGACCGTCGAACTCCATGAACGCTTCGTCGATGCCGTCACCCAGCTCGGAGGCCCTGATAGTACTATTCCATCTTTTCAATATTCTTCTTCTTCTTCTTCTTTTTTCTGTAACTAATGCTTTTTTTCTGTTTGATGTATGAAACTTGCAGAGGCAACACCCAAGACGATCATGAGGGTGATGGGTGTGAATGGTCTCACGCTTTACCACTTGAAGAGTCACCTTCAGGTTTGAACACAAACCCTTCAATGTCTCTTTCGCTTTTTGTTAATTCTCTTCTCTCTCTTTATGGTCTTTGGTTTGGGTTATTTCAAATGTCTTTTTCTCCCGTTCTTTTGTTTTTGTTAGAAATTTAGGCTTGGAAAGCAGCCACACAAGGACTTCAATGATCATTCGATCAAGGATGGCATGAGAGGTGATTATCGACGCTTCTTTCTAGGGTTCATCCTTATTTTATTTCATTTTATCTTTAAGATGAAGAATTTCCTTGAGCTTTCTTGATCTTTTCACTTCATGATATATATATATATATATATATCTTCTTTTATATTATTTACAATTGATCCTTTTACACTATAGTGGCAGCGTCTGCTTTAGAACTTCAACGAAATTCTGCCTCCTCTTCCGCCATGATCGGTCGCAATATGAACGAGTATGCCTTATCAATTTTCTTTCGCAACAAGTCAACAAATTCGAATATATTTTTGATTTTTCTATGCTTTCCCCATTTCCTTCCTTTCTGAGTGTTTTTCTGGAAAATTCAATTTTCTTGCATTCAATACTAACTTACACATGGTTGGTGCAAATAGGATGCAAATGGAGGTGCAGCGACGACTTCACGAACAACTAGAGGTAATCAAATATTCCATAAATACAATATAGATTCCAAGTAATTATTCATCTATATATAATATATATATGGAAATCCTCTAATTTCCTGTAAAGTTTTAATCAACAACATAAATTTAGCAGGTTCAGAAACATCTTCAGCTGAGGATTGAAGCTCAAGGGAAATACATGCAGAGCATATTAGAGAAGGCTTATCAAACACTTGCAGGTGAAAATTTGAAGAACATTAATGGAGCTCCTCCTCCTCAGCATCATCAAGCCAATATAATACCTCCTCAAGATCACTTCACTTCCATCCCTCTGAACACTAACTTCCCTCCTTTTCAAGATCAGCTTAACATCTATGGCGGTGGTGGTGACCAGCTTGATCATCTTCATCAGCTCATGCCAAATAGCAGCAACGCTACTGAAAATGTGTGTGGGGTGATGAATAATAACAAGAGGCCTTTGATTTGGAACAGTGAAGATCTAAGGCTTCATCAAGATCTGGGAACTGCCTCTTCGTGTCTTGATACTGATCCTTTTAGGGCAGTGTCACTGGATAGAGCCACCACCAGTTCTGAGATAACATTAATATTGATCCTGCTATTTCGGAGATTTTTGACACCAAGCCTTTGCTTCATCAAGTAGAGGACACTTTAGGGATACTACCACTGATAATAATAAGAAGCTTGAAGGGCCATCTTCAAAAAGGGCACATTCCCTTCAACAAGTAGATCAAAGGATGAGTCCCATTAATGGAGCTCCTCCTCCTCAGCATCATCAAGCCAATATAATACCTCCTCAAGATCATTTCACTTCCATCCCTCTGAACACTAACTTCCCTCCTTTTCAAGATCAGCTTAACATCTATGGCGGTGGTGGTGACCAGCTTGATCATCTTCATCAGCTCATGCCAAATAGCAGCAACGCACTGAAAATCTGTGTGTGGGGATGATGAATAATAACAAGAGGCCTTTGATTTGGAACAGTGAAGATCTAAGGCTTCATCAAGATCTGGGAACTGCCTCTTCGTGTCTTGATACTGATCCTTTTAGGGCAGTGTCACTGGATAGAGCCACCACCAGTTCTGAGAATAACATTAATATTGATCCTGCTATTTCGGAGATTTTTGACACCAAGCCTTTGCTTCATCAAGTAGAGGACACTTTAGGGGATACTACCACTGATCATAATAAGAAGCTTGAAGGGCCATCTTCAAAAAGGGCACATTCCCTTCAACAAGTAGATCAAAGGATGAGTCCTATGATTAGCACTGGTACACCATTTTAGATTCTTTTTGAAACTGATCATAATCATTGTACGGTCAAGATTGATCGATCTAGGGTTTTGAAAATATAATAGTTAGGGTTATTAAGTATCTCTCGTTTTTTTCTTGTACTATTATATATGGTAATGCCTTTGCATGGCAAACCGTAAGTCATGTTCTAATTTTTTTCTTTTTTTTGGTTTCGAGGGCATCAGTAGTTGAGTCGTCATGTTTTAATATGAGGAGGTATAATTGTACTTCAATTTACCTTTGGCTAGTGACTACTGCACGACCCAATCATACTTTGATATTTGTTTGAGGATTTCGAGGTCTGTAACTACTTAATGAAATAATGAAGCTTTAATATGTGAAGTTAGTTTAATACAACATACTCATTATAAGTTAACCTAATCATATGCTGCTGGCAAATCTCTCGGGAAAATAGAAAAGAAAACAAGTAATAAGAAGCCAAGTTACAGATTCTTTATGCTCAATGAAAACACGAGTGGAAAAGGAGGGTTATATGGTGAAGAAGGTGGTGGGGGGAAAGGTGTGAAAGAGAAAGAGAGAATATAATGAGCTTTGAGAAGGTGAAGTCGCTGTAGAGAGAATGATACAACATTGGCAGACATTAATTCCATGTTGTTTGGTAGCTTTCTCTTGAAGTTGCTAAGGCATAAATTGAAACCGACACAGAGTACTGTCTTTCACAACTCTTCTTTTTTCCCCTCGTCTTCTTTACTGCTCCTCCATATATATTCTTGCGAATAACTTCTTCTTTATCTTCATCCTCAAGATTTTATATTATATACTACCTCTGGTTCTTAATATGAGATCTAGTTGACTAATTTGAGAAGATGAAGAAAGTTTGTTAAATTAGTTGTTTGTAGTATCTTTACTAAAATACTCTTATAATCATATGTGTTTGAATTACCAATTGATAGTAACTTCTTAACATATGCAACTACTATAGGGATTGCTTAAGGACAAAATAGATAATATGAAAAACAAAGTAGATTGGATCTTATATTTATAATCAAATTGAATATCAAATTAGTTCTTATATTAAGGATCGGAAATAGCATATAGATATATATAGATGAACTTTCTGGTCTTTTCTTTTTGGGACTAAAACTAGCTAGATATGAATCTTATGTGTATTATGTAGAGCATGTGTTTTCATGAATAGTATGGTTTGTTATAAATTTTATATTTTACATGATTATAGGATTTTTTTATCTTCAAAATTTACACATTTTTTCTAAAATTAAAACAAAATTATATGCCTTTGTCATTCTCTTGAGTTTTCTTAAATTAAACAACACAGTTTTATCTTCCAAGCATACACATGAACTCCCTTAAAAACAAAATATGCGCAGTTTAATAAGGGTTATTTTTAGAGTTTGCAAAATTAAATATTACCTTCAATCTTTAAGTACAAATTAGATCTTATATTAAGAATTGAAGGTACATATCAATCATTATTCTAAAACTATCTGTAGAGAACTAATTATGAGGGCTTTATGTGCTGGCAATATATATATATATATATATATATAGGGCTTTAATTTATGTGGATTTAGCTACTCACATAAACACATGACATCTACCCTTTAGATATATTCTTGTAAGAAAATCAACAGATAGAGATGGACCCTATAAAAAAGGAAGCAAAAGCCCACAATAATAATGTAAACAGTATTCAGGGGCTGCTTGGCATATATATAGAATGGAAGCAAATAGGGAAAAATATAATTGACGAAAAGGCTTTGTACATTTTAAATATATGTATGTATTTTTAAAAGCAATAGTTAAAGGGCACACAGAATCATTTCTAGCATATCACATCCATGTTTCTTAAAGCCCATGATATATACCTAATTATATGTTTAACGCTTGGATAAATAAATTGACTGAGAATAAGTGACCACATGTAACTAACTGTAAAAAGTTTTTACAGTATTCTCTTTTATACCAAGTTATCCTAACCCCATTAGCTTAGACAAGAGTAAAGGATTGAACAATTCAAGACGTAAAATCTAATGTAAAGAGAGAAAGAAAAGAACGACAAGAGACAATCCTTTAACTGATATTACAACTGCTTTAGATAATATGTAGTGATCTTTTGGTGCATTTTCTTCATAGATCTATTAAGACCCCTAGGACTAGCTAGCCTTGCCTTCCAGAGTGTAAACTGTCTCTTTAAATCAAGTGTGTGTGTGTATACATATATACATATATATATGTCTCTATATCCATATATCTCTATACGCGCCCATTCACATGCTCACATGCCTCTCTCTCTCTCTCTCTCTCTCTCTCTCTTCCCCTCTCCCCTTTCTTCTGAAGATCCATGAAGCTTCTCTTTGCTGTGAAATTAAATAAAATAAAAGATGGTGGTGTGGGTGCCAATACCTTTATTGGTCGCAGAGAAATTTTATAAGCACTAGCAAGTTGGCGAGAAAGTTAACCGTAGCTTCCTCACTCTCATACCACTAAGACCGGGAGAGTACTCACAGAAAGAAAAGAAAGAAAGAAAGAATGAGAGAAAGAAGAAAAAAGCTAATAAAGCCTAAAGAGTAGGAAGAATACAACGCACTCCCATGCGTGCGCATATCGAGGAAGCTTCTATCTTTACGTGCACAAAGTTACTACTCTTACCACTTAAAGCTGAATATATGCTGATCATGCTCATGCACCTCCAGATCTACCCACCTTTGCTTTTTCTTTAGTTTCTTTGTTTTTATTTTCCCCCTATCATAAAACATATTAAATTTCATAGGCATTATTCATTATCAGTTTATAGATGTTAAAGAAAGGTACGTACTTATGATAACTATCTGATAGTAATGCAGGCCAGAGAAAGTGTTTGATAAGAAGAAAAATATGTTCTTCTTTGTAATTTTTGTTATCGATTATTTATACTTGCTGGCAGTCCGATCAATAATGTATATTCAGACAGAAACACATTTCTTGGATCATAGTTTTCGTCTTTCTTAAAGAAGAGATAAGGAGATATAGCTAGGAAGTTGATATTATGATCATGAGTGGTCAAGGCATGCACGAAGATCGATGCTCATGTGAAATCATTAGCAGATGGATTCAAACACTTTATATATGTTGGGTTTACTATATCTGAGTCGATCCAAGCTTCCTTTGCCCAAAGAGTGCATGTTCCATATATTGTTATATATACATATATTAATGCTCTAACAAAGTAAAGTGGAGAAGCTTCTTTTGTCCCCACTTCCTTCCCTTCCCTTCTCTCACAGACACTTATAAAGAGCTTACTGAAAATCACAAGTTCAGTTACCATATCTGCAGGCAAGAAATTAAATATATAACTGTCATCCTTCTTTTTCTCTGTTGTTTATTATTTATTTCAGGGAAGAAGAAAACAAAGAAAACGAAGAGATGAGTAATATTATAGAGTCATTAGAGTGAATGGTCAAAAGTCTGTGAATCTAGTGCAGTGTGTGATTTTTCACCTCAATAATTAATCATTTGTTTCGAACTGAAGAGAATTTGGTAAATCGGAATTGTGCCGATGTTATGTATAGAATATGACGTATATGCTGATATGGATATTGAGGCAAGTACACGTAAGCATACCTTAGCTGACTCAACCATTTTGACTCAAGACTAACAACTTAAACTGTGCATATATAATATAAATACTACATCTAGTTTTCAATATAAGAGCTAGTTGACTAATTTGAGTAGATTAAGGAAGTTTGTTAAGTTAGTTATTTGTAATAATTAGGTGTTATCTTTCTTGGAATACCCTTGTTAATCAAGTCTCATTTGGTGGAATAATATTTAACATATACAACTACTATAAGAACTACCTTAGAAAACATGGATGATAAATATCAGAAACAAAATGGATTGACATCATATATTTAGGACCAAATTGAAAATCAAACTAGCTTTTATATTAAAAACCGGAGTTAGTATCTTCCAATACTTTTTTCTGGCTGCATCATTTGGTGCGCCAAGTGAAATGATATCATTGTAAAGCCTACAGTAGATGACATAGCAGAACATTGAACTAGACAAAATACCAATGAGGACTACACAAAATCCGGATCTAGAGATGATGATGAGTCTCTCAAGAGATAGAGCTCTTTTATTGGTGAATTATTTCTCTGAGATCTGCATAAAGTAATGTGGTAGAACTTTAAGTAATTATTTATATATGCTTTGCTGCTAAAACAGAAGCAAGACAAGGAAATCCCTTTTGATCAAGAGCAATATTATATATAGAAGATTTATTACGTACACAAGTTATCTTGATTTGCAATTTTTATCTTTAAATTTGTCTCCTTCTTTCCACTGTTCTTTTTCTCAATTAAGTTGGCTTTTAATTGAGTCTCAATTTAATTATGACATGCCTTTGCTTCATAATCAAGTAACGTTAATAAGAGACTTTTGGTTTGGAGATATTAACATGATCAATTCTCTGAAGATACATGGAAAGTAACCAAAGTACGTACACATTGTTCAAATTTGGACAACATGCCACCCCTAATCAATCTTTACTTTAATATAACATATATAGCTTTTCACTTAAGATCTACTTATGTATCTGTCACACGTTTTGCTTTTTCTGTCTCTCTCACTGGTGATGGTTTGCTTAATGGCAAAGCATTCGCATGTTTTGGCTTAATCCAGCTCTTAATTACAATATTAGTTAGTTCATGGCTTAAGGACTGAAGTAGCACTGAACGGTTGTTAAATATGTTGATTCAGAAGTTATCATTGATAAATTAATTCATGAAATTAATGGATATCTCACAACAACATCAGAAGCAACCAGCCGGTGAATTAGTTGTTTAATTAAGCAAAAGCAATAGGGCATTTATATTGAGGCTATCTTAAGTAATTAATGACTTAATGTGAGATGACATGTGGATAAAAAAAATCTGAAGTTTAATTAAACTCTCGTAATTAACCAAAAGAGAGAAGTTTACCTTTTTTTTTCCCAAGTACGTGTATCATCTTATTAAAGACAATCTTATTTAACACATTGTTGGATACTAAATATGGGAGTCTTTTACTGTATTATGAGGAGTTAACCTATTCTATTAAACCAAACCCTCATCGGTGACAGTGTTTATAATTTGCATCAGTGATACAAACTTCATAGATCATCATGGGCCTCTTAAAGAACAGTTCAAGAAATTGATAATGGGCCTGCGAATAATCAGGCCATCCATAAGCCCACTACTATAATTTAGGCCTTACATTTTATTACCATTTATTTCCTTCACCACCTAACATTTTTACTTGTGTCTTGGCATTAACGGTCCCATTTGGCACAAAATATTGAAAATGATGAGTAATGATTGAATTTGATATTAAAAAATTATGTTAAAAGAATATTTAGTATGAATGATTACTTGTTATTTGGATTGGACAAATTCATATATGTGGGATTGGAAAATATCATGGAGAAATGTGGTATTCCTTAATCTCATCTATATGAGATTAGATAATCCTATATAACAAAAGATTACTCATACTAAACACTCTTTAATAGTTTTTCTCAATCCCAATCTCAATCATTACTCTTTATTTTTAATGTTTCGTACTAAACAAGATTAATTAGTAATGTTGAGAGCAGAATAAGCTAAGCATGTTTTTGTATGCATTATTGCACTAGGGAGTGTTTGGATAGAAACCAAACCATGGTTTCAGAAATGTTTTTACGGATTACAAAGTAAATATGTGGAGGAGGTTACCTCATTTTGCGGAAAAGTACTTCTGAAACTATGGTTTTTGGAGCACCCAAACATGCCCTAAATATAAGGAATGAAATAGAGTATTATTTCACTCCCTCTCTCTTAACATAAGGCATCTCTATTTGACTCAATAGAATTAAAGAAAGTGGTTAAGGAGGTGTTTAGGAACACTCACAAGTATTTTTTTGTAAATCGAAACAAACTCCTTTATATATTTACTTTGTATATCTTAAAATCACTTTTAAAATCATGGTTTAGTTTCTATCTAAATACCAATTAAATCATTGATTTTGTTTAAAAATAAAATAAATATTTTCCTTTAAATTTAAATAGGGGTGACTTGCAATAAAGATCACTAATCTCATTGCAAAAATGTCTTATAATAAGGATCAGAAAGAAAGAGTACATATCGATAGTGTGATTTATCATTTATTGTAAATTTTTTATAACCAAACTAATTTGCCTTTCTTAGGGGGTGTTTGGGGTAACCCAAAAGTGTTTCTAAAAAGTATTTTTTTGCAAATTGAGATAAATTCCTCCACATATTTACTTCGTATACCGTAAAAGTACTTTTAAAATCATGGTTTTGCTTCTATTCAAACAACCCTCTTATTAACTTTTAACGTTATTAAATGCTTAAATAGGGCTGTATAAATTATTTAAAATGGCACATTTTAATTTTCTTCCATTGGAAAATGTCATTGAAAATTTGTGTGCGCAACTGCACATGCAATAATTGAGAACAAGTTTATATAATTATCCAATTTTCACACGAACACTATTCTCAGAAAAGTAACTTATTCCATTTCACCTTCCCTTACAATTTGTCATTTTAGCTTATTGACTTCGAAACACCAACTACTCATTACAGGAACTTTTACATTAGTAAACTAAAAACAAAAGAAATTACATACATACACCCACCCCCACAATATTCTCCAACTATACCTTCCCCCAAAATGTAGAATTACACTTCTAAACCCAAAACTAAAGGAAAAAAATTATATCAAAGGACTCAGATCTTCAAAAAAAAAAAAAAAAGGGTTAAACGATCTTAACATTTCTAACTATTTTCAAGAACCAAAGTTGTAATCAAGTTTTAAGAAATTTAGTATTAAATTTTAGAAAATTCATAGCTTAAAATGCTTTATTTTCTAAAATTTAATGACACTTTTCTTAAACAACTATGATTCTTGAAAATAATTATAATTTTTAAGATCTTTTAAGCTAACTTTTTTTTTTTTGAAATCTTGGTCCTTTAATATAACTTTTTTTTCAAAAATGAAAAACCTACTTTTAGTTTATTTAATTAAGGAGAATTAAGATTGTCATAGATATCGGCTGGAGGAATGAAATGGTCCATGGAGAGTCCTGGAACGTTGAACATAACATCATCGATGGTCCAGATCTCTTCCATTCTGGTTCGGCTATGCTGCATCGACATCTCACCAAATCGGAACACCGTGGCAATGGATCGCCCTCGATGAGCGATCAAGATCCCATCAACGTCTCTATAGTCACCGATGGTGCTGCCTATGGTGGTCTCCCAATACACTGTATCATTATCGTCCGGGCTTTCAATCCTTGTGAGGTGAGAGTCCTCCAAATATATGAGAAGCCCACTCTTTTGACAAAAATACCCATACAATATGTGCCTTATTACCTCAGCGGGACCCTCGCTCCGTTCAACCACAGCCGCACGATCAGCAGATACTTTTAGGACAAAGCAGTCAACGTCTCCGATTCTGTTTTCGCCCAAGCATTGTGCATTCGCAAATAAGCTGGCTGTGCACTTTGGATCCAAACCCTGGGAAAAAAAATTAATGAGATCAACTTTACTGTGCACTCACTGTATACTTCTTCTTCTTGATATAAGATCTAATTATTAAATTGATTTTAATCCTAAATATAATATTTATTTCTCATATTTATCAATTTTTTTTAAATTAACTTTATGGATACTCTCTTAACCATAATCAAGTAAAAGAGGGAGAAAAGATATTAAGAAAGATGATTATAGTATTTTAGGAAAAACATATCACATTTCTCATAATTAACTAATTTACCTAACTTTTTTAATCTAATCAAGTTAATTAAACAGTTCTTATATTAAGGATTAGAAGAGTACTTATTTTTTAAATTACATCTTACAGTCTTTCACGGTTACCTGCCTATTTAAATTCAAAATAAGAACAAAAGAAAAATTATTATGAAGTCCAAAAAAAAATATAATTATAAAAAGTTTCTAATAACAAATAAAGAGTATAAATCTTGAGTTTTCTTAATAATTATTATTGTCGGTCATTAATATAAGAGTTAATTTAATTTTGTTTTAAATATGTAATTTTAATTCATTTTTTCTCATATTTATTTAGTTTTCTAATATAGTTATTGAAGTAGTTATATATATTAAATGTTTCATCAAATGATAATTCTAACTAATACACATTACTAGTAAAGGTATTTTATGAAAAAACACATATTTAGTATAAATCACTATTTCAAATAATTTTTTTTAATATATTTAAATTAATTAACTAATTTTTATTTTTTTTGTTTCAGTGATCAGGTAATTTTCCCAAATAAAGCAGCAAAAAAAGGAAAAGAGGGGGGGCGGGGTGTAACACGAGGCGGAGGGAGCAGGGAATGGCAGTGCCGGGGGTGGTGGGGAATCCCGAGAAGATGAGAGAGGCAAATAGGAAGAGGTGGGGGTGTGACGTCAGGAGGAGAGTGACGTGGTAAGCAAGTGTCGTAAAAAGCACAAGTGGGTGACTCTTTCAGTGTTGGGTAAAGCAAAGGACACTTCCCCACCACTCCCATGCTTCCCTTCTTTCCCATTTCATTTTTGTAATCTTGCTGTCCTTTCTTTATCTTTGTTTGGTACACCGTTCTGTTCCCATTGCTCCTTTGAGTCGCCCCCCCGGGGCCCCCCAAAAAAAAAAAAACTGACTCGCATTTTTTTCTGAGATGAGAAAATATTTTATGTAAAAACTACTAAATCATTCCCTTACTATAGGATTTAAATTTTTAAAATTGATTTGTCCTTTTTTAATTTTACAAGATTTTATATCAGTTTGACTAAATAATAAATACACTAATATATTTTTTTGTTATTATTTTTTCCTGATACATTTTTCCATTTTTCTCATCACTTACACCTACCACTAATAAATAAAAGCATATTCATATATTTTTAATATATTTATTATTTTTAACTAATTTTAATAGTTTTTTTAAAATGATTTTTATATTTTATAATAAACCACGGAGCCCAACCATAAAAACATACACATTAGTACTATTTATTTACTAAGGGTCGGTTTTGATATGAGGAAATGGAGGAAAGGAAAGGGGAGGAAAAATTTAATTAAGTTTGATTTAAAAAAATTTAAAAAATAGGGTTATAGATAAAAATTAAGTTCCATTCAACCCCACTTCCTAAATTTTTCAAATCAAACTTATTAAAAAAATTTTTCTTTTAATTCCATGGTACCAAACATTGATAACTTACATCTTCTTCACTAGAAGCTACAAGATCATATGTTGTACTACTTCGGTTTTTAATATAATAATTTTTTTGACTTTTATTTGGTCCTAAATATAAAACCTCAATCCACTTTGTTTCTTATATTTATGTATTTTTTTAAAGTAGTTTTTGTAATAATGGTAATTCTAACCAATATACTTGATTAATAAGGATATTTTAGAAAAATTAATATCTATTTATTATCAATAACTAACTTAACTAGTTTTTTCAATCTACTCAAATTAGTAAAGTAGCTTTTATATTAAAGACTGAAGGTAATATCTTTTATGAGGGTGTTATAGGTGGATAACACTACCTCTGATTCTAATTATAAGACCTCCTTTGTAATTTATAAATATATGAATTTAGATTAAATTTAAGTATATTAGAGCCAGTTGATTAACACATAACCTACATGCGTATATAAATATACGAGTTTAGATTAAATTTAAGAATTTCAGAAAGGTACGTGTGGAATATTTGCGAAGATACATACCTGAATGATGCGACGGAGGGGGCGTTGGGGTCCTTTGGCGGCGTGGGTGCCGAGCCATGGCGTGTGGCGCCAGGCGATCTTACCGTTACTCCCGGCGATGACCTTATGGCCGGCGACGACGAGCTCCAGGGACCACATTCCGGGGAGCATCTGCCAGAGAACGAAGCAGCCATTCTCGCTGCTTCTCGTCCCAATGCACTTGACGTTCTTGCCGGAGGAGATCTCCGTCTCGCAGCATATCATCTTCACGGCGCCGCTCGCGTACATGTTCCTCGTCTCCTTCTGCTGCTTCAAACACCCCGTCGCCGCCAAATACTGCTGTATTATATACTTCGCTATGGACGTTTCCTGTGTTTCAATTGCAATTAACCAATGTCTTATGCAACACCGACATTTCAATAATGTTGTACTGATTCGTTCCATGCACTATATATGCAATGTTGTTGAATCGCTCATCACCATCATCAATGCCCCATTTATAGAGTACAGATCTCATAAAATGTAGTACATTGCAGAAATGAAGAAAGAGAGAGAACTTACAAAAGGGACGTCTTTGGTGAGATGAATGGTTTGGGTAGGGTCATGGGCTAAGGGAATAGGAGCCAAGGGACAACCTAAGACACCAAGAATGAGTCTCAAATCTTGTGTCTTTGCTTGAATTGTGCCATAGAAAGATTGAGCAAAGTTGCCAGAAGGTGATATCTTCTGAGCTTTAAACCATTCTCTGATCACTTCCCATGACTTCTCTTTCTTGCCTCCTTCTTCTTGCATCTCAGGGTCAGGCCCTTCCATTAATGGCGTCAATGGCTGTGGAGCCCAACTCTGCCTCCACCTTCCCTTGGAACCCATGCTTCTGATGAACTTTACTTCTTCTGCTATATGAAACCAGAAAGAAAGGAGGAAGAAGAGGGTATCAGGGTGGAGATGGAGGAGGAGGGAGGAGTATAAAAGGGGGGAGACAAAAGGGACAGATGATCTGTAGAGAGAGAGGGTTAAAGCAAGGGGATGTAATTAACAATACAGACTCGCATGTTGGGCTGTCTATTTGCTTTATTCTCATCTTATTTGCTTCGGCACTCGAGCTTTGTCGTTTCTCTTTGATCCTCTCTTTTACTTCTCTTTGTTTATTCTCTCTTGAGCCCCACCCTTTTGATCCATCCATCTCTACTTGCCGTCACTCTCCACTTTTCCCACAAAATTACGCTTCTTTTTAAATTTCGCTGCTGAATTTATATTCCATCGTATATATTCTTTTGTTCTAAGTGTGTCTTCTACTTTATACATACTGAGTGTCAAATTTTAAAATTTTCTTGTAGCAGTAGTGAGAGTTACCAGCTTAGCCTAATTGATACTCAAAATTGCCCTTTCCTCCTCCATATGCAGTCAAACTCATCTCAAAGTTAGTGTGACTTGTGAAAAAAATGGATGGTTTTTGCACAAAAGTTACGCACAAGGTCTCTCACTTAATTTTTTTTATAGACTTTCATTGATCTATGTTCATGTAGAAGAGATCAATCTTGACAAAGTTTTACGTTGACTATTATTGATTGAAAACTTAACACAATCCTCTTCATTTATTTGAGCTTCAGAATGCGCATGAAATATAACTTCAAAAAAAAAATGTGATTATTGACAGTGTTTAGAGATGGAACCAGTTTTTTTTGCCGCTAATTATTTTGTCACTAATTGGATTAGCAATAAAAATTATTAGTGGAATATTTTGTTGCTAATCCGTTGAAAATCTGTCGGTAACATTTTGATGCATTGGTTCTTTTTAAAGAAAAATAGAATATATGATTTATTTGTTCTTTTAAAGAAGAATGTAAAGTTACATGTTAACAAATAGATTGTTTGTATATATAAGGACCAAACGATTCGTACTATATATATAGCCGAACTTGTTCGTTAAGTAAGTTGACGGAGTGTTGGTGTTGATTAGTAGCTTTCACCAGCCTCAAATTCTATTGGCTCTTCAAGATAAGCCAAATATGAAGACCTGTGATTTCATGATCGCAACTTTTACCAAACTATATGACATAGTGAAGCTTATAATTAATAAATTATATTGCTTAATTACATTAGTGTGATTGTGTACTGTTGTGAAAATGATGAGTGTTGCTATATATATGAATAACACAGCTGAACTAAAATTATAATATTCTCAATTGATGGATCAAAATTATTATTAATTCACTTTCTCAAAGTAGATATAAATTTCAAAAGGGCCCCACATATTCCATTATGGGAAAGAGAACACCACCATATGGAATAAGCCTCGCATAGTTTATGATACACTGTAATCACATTATCTTAATTGTTTAATTGTAATCCTTTTCATCTTTTTCTTTTCTGGAAATGTCTCTTGCTTCTTCTTGTGTCATTCTTATAATCAACAAGTTTAAATATAGCTACAACCACACAATTATTTCACAATATTGCCAAATTAATGCCTAATATATAGTGTTTTATGAGCGTGATTCAATTTATAGAATTGAATAAATTCATATTAAATTAAAAAATATGGAGCATGATTTACACAGATAATCACGTGGCTAAAGAAGCTTTTTTTTATTTTTAATTTTTTATGATACAGAGTTGGTAGGATCATTAGTAATATTAAATCATATGGATCCTATCCCAAAGCAATGGGACAAATCTACATATATCTTCTTTTGAGATATAAACTAGCTAATATATATAGTGTACTAATCTATTAATCTCATCCAATGTTACTATCATATTTTTGTTTTGAATCTTTTCTCAAATCCCAACCAATATTAACCTTGCCTCATCATTACACCACCTTCCTTTCATCCTAGTAGCAGTATCAAACTTGCATGAGTAGATTTGAGTTAAAAAAAAAAAAATTCATAGGAATTTTAATTTTTATCCTTAACGCTATTTTTTATTGGTGCTATTTTACTATTCCAACCAATATTCGAAGGGTAAATTGTTTAACCGATGACCCGCAATTTTTAATTGCAAACAGCATAGTCCTAGTTAAATTTATAATTTATTTTTTCAGACAATTTAGTTATACTATTAATAATTTCTTCTTTATTTATCTCATTCTTTTTTTTTTTTTGGCTAAAGCATATGTATCTTCTTATTGGAGCCAATCCTATTCGAGGCACTATCGAGTACTAAATGTGGACACCTTTTCCAGCAGATATTCGAATTTTGATTTGCCACGTTGTGAGGGATTAGTCCCTTCTACTAGACCCAACCTTATTGGTTTATTTATCTCATTCTGCTGTATTGTTGTGAAGTTTCTCCAACTTTTTTTTTTGGGCCAAAGTGAAGTTTCCCCAACTAAAACTAAAAAAGAAAAGTAGTCAATTGACTCCATAATCTGTCCATTATTATCAATCCTTTTTTATTTGACGGCTTTTCCCACACCATCTTGTCTTGTCTTAATGCGAATATTAGGAAGAATGTTACATCAGTTAATAATAATAGAGACAAAGATCCATTAATTAGGTGGGTAAAGTTATTTATTTTTTCCTTTATAATAAAAAGAAGAAGAAGACAATAAGTGAGTGATGAGTTATAGAGAAAGGAGGAAGATCTTGTAAGCTAAGAAGTGCTTTTTTGCAGAAAGAAGGATGAAGAGTTTCTTTCACATTTGGTTGAAGAGGCCACATCCATAACCACATCCATATGTATGCATGTATCCATCTTTTTTCACTTTGTTCACAAATCCACATCCTCTACCATATCCATTTCCCCTCTATATTATATCCATTTATATACTCTTAACACACACAGAAGCTTGATTATACTATTATGATTTTATTTATAAGTCATTTTTAATATATTTCATACAGATAAAAAAACATTAAACTTAATTAACTATCATTTAAAATTTAATAACTTTTTAATTTTATCTTTATGTAATATACATTATATCTTATTAGAACAAAGTCAGCATAATATTAAATAAAGGGTAAAATTGTACATTCTTATAAAATTGTTCTCTTTCTACTTTATAAATAGGACCAAAAAATTATTTATCTCTCTATCTTATAAATAGGATCAGTAGAGCACATATTTAAACTTTGATTTGTGTGAATATAATCTTCATAACTCTTGAAAACTTGATAATAAATAAACATATAAACTTTTTTTTTGGCCTTAATCAAGATGTAAACTTTCAAACTTATGTAATATAACTCTATGATAGTTTTAATTTGTCACTATTTTTTTGTCATATTTTGAGAGTTAACTTTAATATGGGTTGAAAAATATTCAACGGATCTCGTAGTTATATATAGATACAATATAAGTATATAAAAAATCAATAATTTATTGTTTTTGGCAAAGATATAATTTTTTATTTCTTAAATTGATTTTGTCACTTTTGATAAGATTTTATCCCCCATATACTGTTTAGTTGCTCGCTTAGTTTTAGTTTAAGTTCAACTTTTTTCCCCCTTTTAATGTTGCTTTAAACTACACACACACAGAAACCCTCAAGCCGTTAGTGTCTGAGTCACTGTAGATCTAATTAGACATAAAACGTAGCTAAATGAAAATTAAAATTTTATGCTTAAGTAGTCAAAGTCCTTCAATTAAGATCAAAGTCAGTCAGATAGTTCCCCGTATCTTGTGATTTTTTTTTTCAAAAAAAAAAAAGAACAAGAAAGAAAATAAACAGTACATGATCTACTGAAGTGATAACAAGTGTCTAAAAGTTGGCAAGGAGTTATTAAAGTTTGAAAAATAAATTCCTGTTTCTGCCTTGTATATAATTTACCCTTTAATACCTTTTTGTATTTCCAAAAACACTATTAGCTTTGTGACTGTCTTCTTTCCCTTTGTTTATTTTTTGATTCAGAGACTTTTTTTTTTTTTAAATTTTTCAAAGATGACTTTAACCAGAATAAATTTGAGTACGTGCTTCCTTCTGATTTTGCAGATGCTGATTTTTTCCCCTCAAAAGAAAGAAAAACCAAACATTGAATCGCACGATAAAGTACTCGTGTGTTTCACGCATTACATGCCCTTTTGATGTAAAAGCTTCACTCGGTATTGATCCTTTAAATATCAATCTTGGACGGTCTTAAATATAAGATTTATTTTCTAATATAATTTACTCGTTCCAGAGCATACTTATTTTACACACAAATTTAAATAATAAAAATTATTCTGACGAACCTTGTTTATGATTAATTATGATAGACATTCTCTTTTTTTTAACAAGGGTATAAAAGAGAAATTTTAATAGATGCTAAAACCAAGAGGTTATTGTTTTTTCGATATATAAAATTGAGAAAACCCTAAAAAGGTAATTGTAAATGAAGACAAAAATATTTTAATTAATTATAATTATATCTTGCTATAATACAAATTATTTAATCTTCTTTTCAAATTGTGGGTAAAATGTAGAGGGAAGAATATGGATCCAGGCCAGTTGGGCCACTCATTTATCTTTTTTGTGTAAAAGGGCTTTTGGGCTCAATCCTTAGAAGCCCTGTAAAAACTGGCTCGAGCTTTGGCTACCTGTTTAAACTTGATTTATTTCTTTTCTTCAAATTTTTAAGCAGTCTACTTGGATCAAATATTATACTTTTTTGTAACAAAAATATATTTTATTTTCCGATGATGAAGAAAAGAACTAAAAAAAATATCGAACTTGTATTTTAAATTTGGACTTTTGGTAATTTATATGTTGTCTCTCTCAAGACTGGTACTTGTATTATTCATTTTGGATTTTAATTTATTCTTTTGGAATTTATATACGTATTATGATAATAAGAAATTAAATTTCTTCTAAAAATAAGTATTCTGGCTTTAGAAGCCATAACAACCCATATGCGCCGCTGTTTGCTCTAATTGCCAGGTTAAGGTTTTGACATTATGAAATAGGAATGGTAGTTATTTGTCATTTGATACACCCATAAATTAAAAAAAAAAAAAAAAGTAATTTTGCTGTTCAATATAAG